CTTTTCCATGTATGAAGTGGTTTATCTTGGGTATTTGTCACAGTCACAGAAATGAAACACACATACTGCTAACACTGGAAGATTTCTTGTTATCTGCGAACTATTATTTTTCAAGTACCAATGTATGGATGCTGTGAAATCACTCCTAGGTGAAGGTTAATTCAAACGCTCAATAGACAAGTACATTTTAAAGTAGTCAATAGAAAAAAAGATCATTGATATAGTAGGCTATCCCCTGGAACTTAAATTTAAGATACTACCACTCTTGCCAAGTTTTGATATGCCATTTTCTCTATATACTTCAACCAAAATAATATTTCCATTGTATGTCCTTCCAGTAAACACAAATTAAAGACGAAATTCCTTGAATTGAGATCACAAGGATGGTGTGAGGTACAAGGAGGAATAACCAGACATTTGTAACTGCTAGTAATTCTAAGTGAGGAATATCTGTTCAGAAATCACGAGACTTTGAAAGTTTTAAAAATATGTGAATAAAATATGTATGTAAAATACTGGACCAAATAACATACAATTGAAGAAAGGCGATCAATGCAAGAACAATTACAAGCATTACAGTCTTAATATGGTCTAAAAATATAACCAAAATTACAGTCCTGGTTAATAGATTAATAAGAACTTTGAAAGAATGGGCTACTTTCAACCCAATTAATTTTTGAGATGAAATACTAAATAAAACATCAGCAAATGTTTATAAGCCAGTTACCATAACATTTAGGATGTATCTGTATTAACTCTGCTTCTTGAACCAACTGAGCATGTATTTGGCTACAAGTAAGCCAACTTTCCTTCCAAGATGTCTAAGAAGAGCAAATACTACTCCTGATATCTGGACAGTTCCATCTTGGGGGTACCATTGACTGTGGCTTTTAATGTTGAGGCTAGGAGTGTTAGTTATATGGAATTATATTATCAAAATATTTGTAATAGACAACTAATCTAAATTTAATTCAATTAAATTTATAGTAAATTATTTTCACCTACCAATTTATGACCTTAAAAACAGGAATACGGCTAAAGAAACCCTCTCCTTCTAAATTTTTATAAGGAGTAAAGCTTTTATAAATAATAAAGCTTTGAAATGATGCAGAATCCATATTCTTAAATGCTTTCAGTTATTCGTATTATTTGAGAAGAGAATACCAGCTTCAGTTTTTAAAAACTCAAACATACTTTAACTTAAAATGTTAAAGGTAACCAATGGAAGAATAATTTGGAATATACAACTTTAAAAAAAGAGAAAGAAAAGGAGGGTATAAAGAAGAGATGGGTCCAATATATCATAGGGAAAAAAAAACAAACTAAAAAGTCAATAAAAATAGGCTAAATAGGCACAAAATGCTATAAAATAGATCCAGAATATTCACAATCAAAATAAATACCAGAGATGGAAATTTAGCCTTTAAAAATCAGATGCGATTTGGTTTAAAAATTCCATGATGTGCTAACTGCACATGGAGTGCAACGAAACAGAGAAATCCTAAGTAAAATCACGGAGAACTAGACACCAGGCAAATCCCGACCAAGAGAATGCTAACAGCTGTGCTGGCGTAGAATAGATCAGCTCCAAACTTTATTTTAGATTGTAGTGCAGCAGTATGCAGAGACTCGCTATTTAAATGACCATAACTGCTTTTTCAGCATGGGTTGAAGCAGTAAGAACATTCTTGAAGGTAAAATAGTCATTAACAGCATTTCCTGCCACATAGTTTGTGTTTCATTCATAACAGTTTCAGTGATTTTGAATATTTCATGATTTTGTGGCAACTGATTTATTATTTTTCAACCCTGCAAGCCTTGCTTGAATATTTAAAGAGTCTTGCTTAACAAAGAGTGTTTGGAAATAGTTATGCACTTGTAGTCTGTTCAGAGAATGAGTTCAACAAAACAACTTTGCTGCAGAATTTTCTCCGGAAGCTCTGCTTGAGTCTTTGTTGAATGAATGAAATTCTGAGCATGTATTCAGCTACAAGTAAGGAGTCAATTTTGTTATAAAATCAGGGAAGCAGTTAAGCTTTGGAAGGTTCTTCTCACATACAGGGAACACTGCATTTGCATTTTACAACCCTATGACATAGGACTCTTAGAAAAGGAGGGTCACAGTAATGAAGAGATTGACACAATGTAAATGCAAGAATGACCTCGCAGGTGGTCAGTAACAGGCAAGGCAGGGTAACCTATTGCAAAATCATACTGATATCAGTAATCACTAATGCATTCTTTTCTTTTTTTTTTTTGTTTCTTTTTTTCATTTCTTCCTTCCCTCCCTCCCTCCCTCCCTCTTTCCTTTCTTTCTATTGGAGATGGAACCCAGGGGCGCTTAACTACTGAGCTACATCCCCAGCCTTGTTTTATATTTTATTTAGAGACAGGGTCTTGCTGAGTTGCTTAGGGCTTGCTAAGTTGCTGGGGTTGGCTTTGAACCTATGATCCTCATGCCTCAGCCTCAGATCCTTCCAAGCCACTGGGATTACAGGCATGCGCCACTGTGCCTGGCTTATTTTAAAATTCTTATGCCACTTAGTCTGTCAAAACTTATAAATCATTTTAATCAAGTACTTCACTGCCATTTACTAGAAGACTTTTTAATTTTTTTTAAAGAGAGAGTGAGAGAGGAGAGAGAGAGAGAATTTTCTTTTTTTTAATATTTATTTTTTAGTTCTCGGCAGACACAACATCTTTGTTGGTATGTGGTGCTGAGGATCGAACCCGGGCCGCACGCATACCAGGCGAGTGTGCTACCGCTTGAGCCACATTCCCAGCCCAAGACTTTTTAATTTAATGTTGCGCTTTAAATTGATTTTATAACCCTATATATTTTTTAAAATTTTTAATTTGTTTTAATTAGTTATACATGACAGTAGAATGCATTTATGCACTTTGATATATATAGATGGAATATAATTTCTCATTTTTCTGAGTGTACATGCTGCAGAATCATATTGGTCATGCAGTCACATATATACATACAGTAATAATGTCTGTTCCATTGTACTATCTTTCCTATTCCGAAATCTCTTCCCTTCCCCTCCCATCACTTCCCTCTACCTAATCTAAGGTAAAGCTATTCTTCCATAGTGCCGCCCCCAACACCTTATTGTGAATTAGCTTTGGCATATTAGAGAAAACATTTGGCATTTAGTTTTGTGGGATTGGCTTATTTCACTTAGCATGACAGTCTCCAACTCCATCCATTTACTGGCAAATGCCATAATTTTACTCTTCTTTAAAGCTGAATAATATTCCATTGAGTATAGACTCCTAAAGCTCAAGAAGTAAAATCAAACATTAATAAATGGGATGGATTCAAATTAAAAAGATTTTTCTCAGCAAAGAAAACAATAAAGTGAGGAGAGAGCCTACAGATTGGGAGAAAACCTTTACCACATCCACCTCTGATAAAGCATTAATCTCTAGGATATATAAAGAACTGAAAAACTTAACACCATCAAAACAAATAAACCAATCAATAAATAGGTGAAGAAACTAAATAGACACTTCATGGAAGAAGGGATACAATTGATCAACAAATTTATGAAAAAGTGTTCAACATCTCTAGCAATTAGAGAAATGCAAATCAAAACTACTCTAAGGTTTCATCTCACTCCTGTCAGAATGGCAATTATCAAGAATACAGGCAACAATAAATATTGGTGAGGATGTGTTGAAAAGGCACACTCATACATTGTTGGTGGAATTACAAATTGGTACAACCACTATGGAAAGCAGTATGGAGATTCCTCATAAAATTAGGAATGAAACCAGCGTTTGACCCAGTTATCCCACTCCTCAGTTATACCTAAAGGACTTAAAATCAGCATACTACAGTGATGCAGCCACATTAATGTTTATAGCAGCTCAATTCACAATAGCGAGACTAAGGAACCATCCTAGGTGTCCCTCAATAGATGAATGGATAAAGAAAATGTGGTATTTATACTCAATGGAATATTAATCAGCTTTAAAGAAGAGTAAAATAATATTTTTTAAAAATTAGTAAACGAAAGTGATAAACAAGCTGGGTGCGGTGGCACATGCCTGTATTCCCAGCGTCTTGAAAGGCTGAGGCAGGAGGATTGTGAGTTCAAAGCCATCCTCAGCAATAGTGAGGCGCTAAGCAACTCAGTGAGAGTTGTGTCTCTGTGTCTAAATAAAAAAAAAAAAGGCCTGGGAATGTGGTTCAGTGGTCGAGTGGCCCTGAGTTCAATCCATGATACCCCCACTCCCCACAAAGTGATAAACAAAAGGGAAAACAAATCTTCCACAATTCCATCTTCAGAGAATAATACTGATACTATTTGGGGGTATACACAGGCATTCCTAGACCCTCATCCAACATGTCAAATCATGTTTTTTTTTTTTTTATTCTGCACACTGTTGGATGGTGGGTGGATCACTCTCTATGAAGTTTGGCTTGAACTCATTGATGAGAACAAGCATGTTTACCAGTGACTGAACTAAACTTTCCCAAATTCTTGTCCCAGGTGTAAGACAAGGATGACAACCTCATGTCCACAGAGATGTAGATTTCACTGGTGTCTGTGAATGTCCACCCTTGAGATGTGTAAGCTGAAGCCGTGTGCTTGAGAGGCCCTGCTAGGCGGGGTGGGAAGTGTTTTCTGCACATCCAACCTTGCCAAGGACCAGTGACCCAGATGGGGTTTTTCCTCAGCAGAATGAACACACAGCGAGTTGGTGGAGGAGTTTCACATGCACTCACAGGTCAGCAGGTGGGCCTCTATTCTGCCTCCCTAGGACCTACCCCAATATTGGATATGAATCCAGGTCTGTTGACTGAAAGAGGAAACAGTGGAGGCTAAAGCATTTCCCCTGCTCACTCCAGACTTCTTTAAAGAACCTTGCTTCCTCTGAGATGAGATGAGAACTAGCTACAAGATCCCAGTCCAATGATCTACCCACAGCTGGAGAAGGCCAGTCCCCTCTCTAAAACTACCTTTTCATTCTTGTATTGGTTTTTACTTTGTATTATGCATGATTTTATTTTATTAATTAAATTATTATTTTGGTGCTGGGGATGAACTCGGGGGTGCTCTATCACTGAGACACATCTTCAGTCCTTTCTGTTTTCTTTTGAGACAGCTAGTTTGCTGAGGCTGGCTTTGAAATTGCAATCCTCCTGCCTCAGCATCCCAAGTTGTTGGGATCATGGGCATGTGCCACCAAACCTGGCATGGTTTTTCAAGCTAAGACTCTGGATTCCTCTCTAAGTCGTGGTTCTGCTTCATATCACTGCAACCCCCGTTAGGGATGCCCTTCCTGGGCCTGCTCAGTCCCTGGACTTTCCCCCGAGACTTGCCAATATATTCATCTTATGCTGTTCCTGACAGTCAATCCCTGAGATTCCCAGGGACGACTCCATTGTGTGAATCACAGTTTTCTGTAGAGTAGGGGAAATGAGTTCATCTTGATCTTAGAATGGGAAAACGGAAGCCCAGATGGCGTAGAGCAGAAGTGAAAGGAGGAGACCAGAGAGGAAGCGGGAAGTCTACTGAGGTCAGTGGTAGAGAGAAAGAAGGGAATGCAGAAAAGCAGGCAGGGTCTAGAGAGGGCTGAGGGCTGTGTGTGTGTGTGTGTGTGTGTGTGTGTGTGTGTGTGTGTGTGTGTGTGTGTGTACATCACATCCACAGGAATACAAATTACTTGAACTTTATGGAGGGGGAGGGTGAACTTGCTCAAAGGTGGCCCACTGTAGGGAGAGAGGCAGAACTGGACCAAGGTCAGCAGTGCCCCTCAGCTCCCCACTGTACCCCTGGGGTGAGCTTCCTGCAGCATAACGCTGTTGTTGGAAGCGAAGAAAGAAAGGCAGAGGCACATGGAAGTTCTAGTTTGGGAAAAAGAATACTCATAATGTCAAAGCCCACCTCCAACTGTCACGGCTGTTGTGTCTGCGTGCTGTTCTGAACTTGTGCACAGGCCCTTGTGAGTTTTCTCTATACAGTTGATCTGTCAGAGGGGTCAGTTGCATTTTTTCCATTTTCTAATTGCTTTTAGGTAAATGACTATCACACCCAAAGGACTGGGACAATTATTCATCAAAATCAACTGTTGGAGAGGATGGGGGACTGTTGCTTTGATCCATCTGCCATGGACAATAATACATTGGAGGAAATTAAAGAGACACATGTTTGAAGGACCAGCAAGTTCTCTTTAAAAAAAGAGAAATGATTCATCAATGAAGACATTTACAATAATGTTCATAACATAATGTTCATAAAAGGAAAACACTGGAAACGACTTCAGTGATTATACTTAATTATGAATTTAAATAGTTGTATTCACCCAATGGAATATTATCAGTCACTGAAAAGGAGCTGATCACATCTGTGCACATGAGTTCAGTGGCTGTGAGGTTCACAAAAGTTAATTCATGTGCAGGAATATCATAGTGTGATGCCTTACCTGCTTATTTCACAATCTTAAAGTGCGCTTACCTCTGTCTTGCAGATTGTCGTGGCTTCGCACAAATGAAGAGCTGGAGAAAATGATAGCATGTTAGACTTTCCTGTGGTATTCACACTCCATCCAGGGGCAAGGTCAATGGTAATGGCTGAAACTGCATTGAAGCACTTCATATTTTACTTAATAGGCTAGAAGAATTGTTGGTTTTCTATGGCAACCAGAGGCTGGCTCTTCCCCTCCTCGTCCAAGGCCAGCAAATATTAGATATGAAATGCAAACACTGACCTGCAGAAGTTCTTCCCAGGTCACTGCAGTGAGCACACATCAGAATTTTTTTACTTTTTGAAGTCGTGAGTTTGACTTGCCTTGTACTTAGTCATAGAAATTAATACTTGACTGGTTGGGGCTCCTATTCTATAGAAACTGCTCACCCACTGAGACTCAGCTCTAGCCGGGAAGAAGAGTACAGAGGTCTCATTCCATCTTGAAATGTGAGCCGGGTGAGAAAACGATATTGACTATTATTGGGAGTTCCATAAAGAAAAAGGGATTAGAAGGCTGTGAGACCATCACAATAGCAATATGCATTTCTAAACACAAGACGGAGGCTCTAAGGCAGCAGTTAACGGTTTCCTTAGCACCTTGCTCGAATTTTCTGGTTCATTTTGTATTGTGGTCAGCATCTGTGGACAGGAGCTCCAGGTGCTAAGACAGTTAAATCTGATTTCATGGTTTGCGCTCTGTTCCAGGGAGTGTGCTATTGACTGAAAGAGCCTCTGGGTTAATTATCTGGAACTTGACCCTTTCCTAGCACTGACTGAAATCACCTGGGTGTGGATCTGGGTTTTGTTATCCCCAGGGAAGCCCGCGGGGCCTCCCAGCTTGCTTTGTACAAGAAAATGCCAGCAGACCCTTCGGCCACCACAGTGTGCTGTACCAAGGGTCAGACTTCTGCCATCCAGGCTCTCCACTGTTGAAACCAGGGTCCCTCTCTGGGGAGCCAGTGGACACTTCCGTTAAATGTCTGGGGAAATAACAAGCAGCCAGATGGTTCTAATTTTCCAGAATTTTTAGGAAATATTGAAAGAGGAGGAATATCCTCTGAGGATACTCTGGGTCTTAAGTACAGACTTTATAAGGACAGAAGAAAAAAAATCCCAAAATAACATAACTAAAACTAAGATAAAAGTCGCGATTCTTTCATTTAGCAAATACACGTTGAGCACTTTCTAGAGGTGGGATGTGTTTGGCGACAGTAACACGAATGGACATGCTCTCTGCCCTGGAGGAGCTTACCTCTTGCAGGGGAGACACACTTGCATCGCAATCAGAGCACACCTGGTGCACACTGTGGAGAAGGTGTGCCCAGCACACGTCCCTGAGCAGTGAAAGGTCACTAACGGACAGCATTGCCCTGGAAGAGGGCCTGGGGATTCTCGGAGCCATCAGAAGCCTATCACAACAATGCAGAGGGGAGCTGGTGGCCCTGGTCTGCCTTCGAGAGCTGGGGAGGAAGGGGAGACATAGGGAGACTCAAGACACATGGTGGAGTAGGATTTTGGGAGTTAGGAATGGATTGGATGGGAAGAGAGACAATGGGAAGAAAGTTCACCAGGACTGAGGCGAGAAAGTCTGCAGGAAGACCTTGTTGGTTGGGACTGGGAGTAGAAATGAAGAGCTAATTCCCAACAGAATCAGCTGTGATGCTTGCGAACTATGTGCAGGTCTGAAGCCAGGAGAGGAGGTGTGGTCAGAAGCTGGAGGGAGGGGGATTATCAACATGGCTTGACATTGGGCACTGAGACGTCCTCTAGGGACAGAAAAGGGAGCCTCAGATAAACTGAGTAACACCAACATTTAGAGTCAGTTTGGGAAATAACTCTAAGAAAGGCAATTATGCCAGAATCAGGAGACTTTGTGAAATAAATTAAATAAGCAAATAAAGTAAGCCAAAACCTATCAACCAACTACAACAGGTGTAAGTCTGAATGCAAGCTCATTATCCTTTCACCATAATGATACATTTTTCTCTTAGAAAGTTATGTGAAGGGAGGGTGTTCTGTTTGATGTTGTGTCACATCAGGGGGTCGAACAGCAAATGCCCTGGGAAGGGGGATAGAGCAACAGTCCCAGCACTCACGAGCTAAGGGGCGAGAACATGTTGGTAAAGGCACAAAGTTGGACAAGGCGAGGACGTGGCAGGGAGAAGGGAAGGGGCGTGTGTCGTCATGGCGTGTGGTGCCATGTGCAGGCCTGTCCACAGAACTGAGAGCTGGTGTTGACCAGGCTCTTGATTCATGCCTGGCTCTGCTCGGAGCTTCCCAAGTGGGACAGAGATGCTGGCCAAGTCACGCCGCTCACTGGTATGGCGGCACGGGTCTCACTCCTGTAGGTCCTGCTCAACAGAGTTCTACTTGGCCCTGCTGAATGAAGATAGCAAAAGGCTAGCCCCAGGGAGCTCCCGATTCAGTCTGGTTCTAAGCTGGGGTGTGATGGGTGAAAGAGAGCTCCCATGTGGGAGAGGGTGGAGGGGGGCAGTGTGGGCAGCAAGCAGGTGGCTTCCAGGCATCCCGGAGCTGTGAGCAGCGTGTGCAGGGAGTGGCGGGAACCGAGGTCGGTCCCTGGCCAGGGTGGGATGGGGAAGTGGGCTCCCAGCAGTGACTTTGTGGAGGTCTTGGTTTTTGAACAAGCCACTATTAAGTTAAAGTGACTTGGTAATGAGTCATTCGCCAGAGGCTGTGTGTCTTCAGCTCTTCAGTGGAATTGACAGCTGCCACAATAACCTGATCAGGTGATTATCTAATTGGAAATGCATTTTTAACACTATGAAGTTCTGTTCCAAAGAGACTATTATTAGCTCTGATGTGAACGCCAATTGAGAATAACTAGAAATGACCAACTTTTCCTCCAAGAGTGATTAGCATCCATTCCAGGTAATCTGATCTAGTTAATATTCAATTCTTTCCCCTGCCCTTCACTAACACATGGGTCAGTCAAAAATTAGAGAAAGAACAACATCATTAGATTCAATGATAGTTGGAGTTCACAGGTTCCCCTCATGCCTCAACACTGCCGTCAAAATCAAAAGCCAAGGAGCTTTGGTAGTCATTGTCCAAGAGAGCACCTTGCTACTCCCAAGCTGCAACCTGAGGGGGACTTTGTGACTCCTCACCTGGTCAGGGCAAGAGGAATCTTCCGCGTGATTCGGCTTTGCGATGGCTGGGATGATGCTGGCCTCATCTTGTCATGGGAAACTGTAAAGTTGTGACATAATTTGGTCAGATTGCATGTTGAAAGTGATCAAGGACTGTTAGAAGCCAACTCGAATGTCCATAATTTCATGCAAATAATTTCTGATTCTTATTACTGGGATGTAGATGTCATTGGAAACTCTACAACCCTCCCAGATCCTGGGGGTATCTTTTCTCTGAGACTATAAAAATTACATTGAGCATTTACAATTGGGAACACACATTACCAAGCTTCCTGGAAACACAGAGTACTGCCTTGGGAGATATTACAGGGATTATGTTACACCAGTTAGTTTAGAAGACTTCTAACTTGATTCTCATTCATTCACATCACTCTGCAAATATTTACTGAACAGCTTCTATAAGATAGGTCTTCTTCCAGAATCTGGGGTCACAGTGAGAAGGGAGAAGTGGTTATTACATTCTAAGGAAAGGAGACAGGAACCAGGCATGCAATGCCTCAATGCTCGCATTTCACACAGTGTGAGTGACAGGAAGTAAGTAGAGCTCTACTTTGGATCCAGAGTGATGGTGGGGCCCAAGCAGACCTTCTGAGAGATGAGCTCTGAGCTGAGCTCTTAGTGAGAAGAAAGTTAAACCAGAGGACTGCTCTGGGTGATGCAGGGGACAGGCAGCCCAGTGCCAGCACAAGACACCTGTGTTCTCAGACCCTTCCTGCAAAAGGGAGGGGAGCTTCCAGGACTCTGGTGTCGACTGGCAGTTCCCAGGTGGTCACCACCAGGGCTATATTTTCTCATTAATCATCAACTTTTGAAAAGCTCTACATACTCATTGGAGTTAGTTAGTAATTACATATGCCATTGGTGTGGCTGCTAATGATTTCCTTTTTATCATGGATGGAGTTAACTGGCCATCCAGAATTACCAAGAGCACAGACTCCTCCTGAATATGAAATTCCGTGAACCCTCTCCCAGTTGTGACCGTAGGTAATAAAGCCAGGGAAGCCTGCAGACACTGGTGGCACTGTTTTAGGATGTTACTCTGTTCTGTGTCCAAGGTTGGTCACAAACTTGATTGAATGACTGTGATTACTTGAAATGTGATTGGAGCTACTGACTGGTCCTTTAATAACACATCCCAGAAATTCATTCTGTGCCATCAACAGCCACCCAGAGCTTCTGGCCCTCTTGAGCTGAACCATGTCACGTTTTGTGCGGATGACCACTGGAGCCTGGTGCAACGACACCTGAGTTTGCATGTTGAAATTTACTGTGGGGAAGGACATGTTTTCATTAAGTTTTAAAATTATTTGAAATTGTCCATGAAACCCCCATTGCTCCATCGGGGATCTGTGGGATGTCACAAAATCAGGTAGGCCCCTCTTTGGGTTTAACTTCCTCATTATATACTGAAGAGCAGACTTGAGACCCCCAGAGGATAGGCACTTGTCTCTGGTTCCCTCTTTGGGCCAGAACATATTTTGCCTCTGAACATATTTTATCATTCAAAATGGATGGCATTTCAAACAAAGGTGGACATCAGGCACTGCCTGCTGCATATCCTGCCACTTAGTGGGTGTCAGACTGCATGCTTCTCTGAAAATGTTGAAAGTGATCAAGGACTGTTAGAAGCTAACTCAAATGACCATATTTTCATGCAAATAATTTATGATTATTATTACTGGGATGTAGATGTCATTGGAAACTCTAATGTGTGTGTGTGAGTGTGTGTGTGTGTGTGTTGTGGCAGGGACACCAAGGTCTCTTTGGCCAGTGGCAGGGGTGGCAGTGTGACTCCTTTTGGTAATACCTGGGCTGAAGAAAGACCTCTGATTTAACCCAGATATAAATTTCCTTGCTTAGACCAGAGGACGCTGAGTGGACTGTGAGGTCCTACACCCCTCTGATCCCTTCACCACGTGCACGTATCTTACATCCTGGGCTTCGGTTACAATGCTTGTAAATTATGACTAGAGATCTAGAAACAGCACATCCTAATGGCAGTAGGGAAAGAAAGTTAAGGTAAAGAATTTACCTTCTTCTGCTTCAAGGACCTGTATTAAAAAAAAAAAAAAAAACAACCATTGAGTGACTTTCTGTGTTACAGAATTTAATAGAATACTATATGTGCTTTTGAAAAATTTGGTTATAGTAGAATTTCAGGAAGAATTTTGTTAGCATAGATTTTTTAAAAAATAGTAGAATTTTGAAAAAGATTTTGTTAGTATAGAGTTTTAAAAAATCCATAATTCTCCAAAAGACTGAACAAAAACCAATTGGAAAGTAATTTAACTGAACAAAAACCAATTTAATTTCAAGGGTCTTAGACATGCTTTATTCCTATTGCAACAATTGCCTCAATGAGACTATTTCCAAGAAACAACCTGAACTCTGGACCAAGCTCAGGTACAAGGTGTTCAGCCTCATGACTCACAGTGTCATACAGCTGGTGTGTTCCTTGCTTATTGAACTCTGATGAAGGCATTTGTAGTAGTGATGTAGGCTGGACTCGGGGGGGCACTGGGAGCAGGCCTCGGCGGAGCACTGGAGTCCAGGATAAAAGCTAGGCCCCTCATGCATTTACATGCTAGTATGTCTTCATCGTACATGTGTGTGTAGGCAAAAAACAGTTCAAAGAGATATAAAATACCAACAGAGATTGTGTTTCGGTGATAAGGCTATGACTAATCTTTTCTGTATACTTCTGTTCTGAAATGTTTTTTTAAAAAAATAAGCAGAAGATACTTGCATTATTCTTTTTAAACACAGCCATTTATCTTCCCAAACATTTCTTTTCTCTTTCTTTCCTTAAAAGTGGCAGAGTTCCTGACTGTCCTTTGTTATGAAAATGTCCACATTTATTGGACTGGTATCCCTCACCACAGTGAGCTCTTGAAGAGGCAAGAATCTTTACAGTAGAATCTGTGTGATATTTGCTGAAGGGCATGTTTGATCACGAATAATTATGTGAAGTTTGATTTGTGCATTGAGTCACCTGGAGACGACCTCAGGTGTCCGTTTCATAGGAACTTGTTTAACCTATGGGATGAGAAGGCCATTGGTGCTCTAATGAGGTTTGTGAAACTTTTGAAATAAAAGTGGTTTTTCTCTATAAATATGTGCATACATTTTTGGTGGAATGAGGAAGGTATATAACTCAGCATCAAATTATTAAAGGAATAATTTAATATCCTTGAATTAGAAAACATGTAAAATGTCCTTGGCTTAACAGAGGAGATCCAAAGAGGTGATGCCATCTGCCCATGTTCCCACAGCCATCCTGCAGCTAAGCTGGCCCGAGCCCAGCTCTGCCAACTCACATTTGCTCCACAGATAGATAAGAAACCTGCAGCAACAGTTTGCTCACAGGGGCATCCTGTGTCTTGTCTGAAGCCAGCAAACAGAACTTTTGTTTTAAAGACCATGGTACCCCTAGGGTTCTGAAAGGAGGACAAACTGTTCATTAGGAGAGCAAATCAAAGCAAATCCTTGGCCAAGAACAAAGGGCCACGAAGGCATTCTAACCAGTGGTTTAGAAGGCTCCCTGGTGAGGCCTCCCCAGGACTTTGAACCTGGCAGTTCCCAGTGCTCACTCAGAGGCAGGAGCTCTCCGCTGTCAAAGGAGAGGGAGGCAGAAGGTAAGAGCAGAGGAGGAGCTTCCTCTGGGGGAGCAGTTGTTTTATCTCACTGAGACCCAGCCAACTTTTTGCTTGAGGGCTCTGAATTTAAAATCAATGCAGTTAGACAAGTGCAGTATCTCTTGTTTTTCTACTTTAACTTTTTTTGTTGTTAGAAAATCAACATATTCAAGTGAGAGAGAAATGTCACCTCCTGCTGTCCGTCCTCCTTCCCTCTAGCTCCCTCCTCTCCTTTCCCTCCCTCCCTCCCTCCCTCCCTCCCTTCCTTCCTTCCTCCCTTCCTTCCTTCCTTCTTTTCTTTCTTCCTTCCTTAGTATCTCCTTCCTCTCTTTTCTTTTTTACTTTAGCTCAGGCTGTCCCTCTAATTTTTAAGGCAGAGAGTCAGGACTCTGGGGAGCAGACCTGGGCTTGGCGATTTCAGGGACTGGCCTGTCTTCTGCCAGCTGTGGACATTGGCAGTTTGTCACCCCTCTGTCTTCATGTTTTCTTTCAGGGCTTTGTAGGGATGAGGTGAGACTCTGATTCTCTATTCACTTTGAAAACTACAGAGGGCTGTGTGCATCTGAGTCAGCACATCATTTCTGCTGAAATATATTTTACTTTGCAAGACATAATTAAGCAATCACTCCATGTGCACACACACATGGCATTTGCCTCCTGGATGGGCTTTTGCAATGGAGAAATGACCTTGAATCTCAGCCTAGACAAACAATGCAGAAGCAGGTTGGCAAAACTTATGCAAGAATGAGTATTTCTATTAGATCCTGTTCTTCAGAGGACACTGTCTTCCAACAGAAGCCAGCCAAAGAGGCAAGGAGGACCAACAGCTCTGCACGCTTCCTGCTGTCTCCCCATTTCCTTCTTGCTCGCTGGTGATTGGAGGGGGGCACATGTCCTGTCAGACTGATCTTTGTGTTGTAGACTTGAAGTCATCTCGAGTGGCAGCCAGCCTCTACTTGAGGCACAGAAACCCAATCTAGAGGCAGAGTTCTGGGTTCAGGAACCTTAGATGTGCAGGGTCCCCCAGCAAGAGCACAGTGACCTACTGCTCCTTCTCAGGGGTGCTGAGGAACTCCTGTGACTCCCAGAAGGGCATGGAGAAGTCCTCTATGGTACCAGGGCGCTCATCTCATCCAGCACTGATACATGTGATCCTTCTTGACATGGTTCCTTTGTGGATTTTAGGGACTAAAGGTACTAAATGTCTTGTTTGAGTGACAAACTGGACGTGTGACTAATGATGTTTGCATTCTCAAAAAAGCAACAAATACAAAGAAAAGAAGGAAGTAAACGGACCTCTATGGTCTAGCGGAGGTATAGGGCAAATACCAGGCAAGAACTCAGCCCCTTAGGAGTCCAATGTGAGCAAGCTAAGGCCATTCCTGCTGGGGGATGGAAGTTTTTCATCAGTCCCAGGGCCCATCGCCTTCTTAAGGAACTTCTTCTTTGGGAACTTAAGGACGTGAGCCTTGGAGGGCTCTGTGATTGTGCTATCCTGCCTCATGTCCTTGCTACTTGTTGAGCCTCTACTGGCCCCTTGGCCATTTGTGTATTTACTTTGACTTTATCACAACTTTGCACAGAAATGTGTCCCTCTCTTCCTGGTGTGTGGGGCGTTTGCCAAATTTCATAAACCCTCGTAGGGGGCAGAGCAGGGTTCACACCTAGATTGGTGAGGCTCTGAATCTCATCTGTCTGCCACTCTGCAGTCCTGTTTTCCCTGTGAAGATCAAGCAGCGTAGAGCCTACAGCTGCCAACACCTCATTTCTGTGCGGTGGAGGTTGGAATCCAGGAGGGAGGTTTAGTGTTTTTCCTGTGTGAAGCGGGCATGTTCCCACTGCATCCGTCAACACTGAATGACCATGGGGTGGAGGAGGGTCTGCGTCTACCCTCTGGATCATAACCTGTTTGACTTAGGTTTCTCATCTTTAAAGCAGGGGCCAGGGGATCATTCATTCTGAGCATGGCTACCACAAGAACCAAGTATGATAAGGTACCCAGAGAGAATCTTGCTCATTGTGGACACCTCATGCACACAAATTCCCTTTTTGTTTCCGAGGACAAAATTGCTACTTACCCCACGTAAGTCCTTTAAGCTTATCTGTCTGTATGAAGAAGAAAAATGGTGTTAATAAAAAAGCAATTCATAATGGCCAAGATAGAGTCATCCTGAGCCCTTATAAAACTCTGTCATTGCCAAATTAACAGCCCGTAGTCCAGTGTGATATTTATCACTCTTCTATAAATCTAAAGCAGGTTATTTTTTTCTCATAATTTTCTGAGGAATAAAAAGAAGCCAATATAAAAGGCGGTGACTGCAAGGACACAAATATACTTGCTTCTCATTTTAGGAGAATTTAAATAACGTTGTCATTTCTCCTGACATTTGATTCCCATGTCAGATTTCATGAGCACAGTCAGACCTATTGTTAGGTAGATTTTTAAAGCTCTCACTTTTTTTCTCCTCTGAGAAAATGTAAAAGGTTTAAATATGAAGCTGTCAGGTAGAGTGGCAGCCCAGGAAGGTGTGTGTAAAGAAAGATTACTGACAATGAAAGGGAGCCTGATACAGGAAAAGAATCATGAGACTGAGAGGAAAAGGGAAAGGATCCAACGAAGAATTCTACTCTGTGGACACTGGCCGAGTCTCAGCATCATCTCCCAGATGTTCATTATATTGGAAAGTCAACTTCTCCAAACCTCATTTTCTCGTGTGCAAAATGTCAACAAGTGTCCTCATCTTGGAGGGTTATTGTGAGAACTGCTAGAGATAATAAGAAAAATGGGGCATTCAGTGGGCAAGGTGTTCGAATGTGGCCAAACTCCCCATGGGAACTAAGGATGTGGGCTGCGGGTGCCCGTCCCAGCTACCATGTCCATCAGTGAAAGGCCAGGAACTGAAGGATGCTGGGGGTTAAAGACTGCCACGCCAACCTCACGGGCGCTGTGGATCCAAAGCTTTCCGGGTCTCTCTGTCTTGGGCAAAATGGCCCCAGAGCACATGGATCTCAGATACTTTCTGGTCTTGAATTTCCAAGCTAGGGCAACTGTCCTTGGGTTCCACAGCTTTTAACGATCATCTCAGCCCATCGGAGACAGATAGCACCTCTGCACCTCCCTTGCCTTTTAGTTATCAGGTAAGAAGTAAGAGATATAGTCAGAAGCAACCAAGTAGAACAAACACCTGTACTATTAATTATTTTGCAGTTAAATTGAGACTAATCTCAGTATTCTTAATGTTTAAGAGACTCTGGCATAGTAGGGGTGTTGATGGACTGACTATGTGGCTTCAATTTAAACATGTGTAATTGATTTTGGACTTTCAATTTTAAGTTACAATAGTCAAGACACATTTTGACTCCATTTGAAAAGCATTTGAATCAACTGCATTTGTAAAGCATTTAAACTGTGCACGAGAAATTGATTTTTTTCTGTATTTATCTCTCTCTATACATTTACTTTATGTGATTTACAAAAATTGTTAAAGTTTCTTTGCTAGAATTTAAAACTACCCTGTCAGTAATAGAAGTACTTAAAAATCAGGTATGCTCAATTTATAAAGACATTTCAAATATTTAAGTAGATTTAACTGAGTTTGTAAGTACTTACTATCTAAGATGCCTTAAACTATCTTGGTTGAGTTAGTTCACATTTGTAGAACAAGCAGAGTGACTGTGTTTCTCTTCCCATAAAATAACTCAATTTATAAATAGAGCAATGAGTTTTACAGATTGAAACTTGAGGCTTCAGGAAAGGTAGGTTTTGGAATGTGTCATTTTAACAAGCTGAATTTTAAGACAATGTGGGGACTCTAAGAAGCCTCTTCTTTGCATAGCAGGGTGAGGCCCTCTGGCCTCTGCACATTTGATCCTTCCCAGGCCCACGTGGAGCCAGAGGGAGCCTCTCTGACCTCCTTGGTTTGTCCATGGAGATGGCCAAGAACACATGGCCCTTGACTACTTGGAAAAAGAGTTCTCACATTATTTCCTTTGCATAATGTGTGCTTAGTATAAACTTAAGGATATTATCATTTACTACAATTGTGGACCGTCTTGAACATCTTTCAGTTTAAAATGAATTGGATTTGAATCCTTTCTTTGTCATCTATGGGCTCTGTCACCCCTGATAAGTTCAGTTCCCTCTCTGAAACTTAGTTTTCCCATCTACGAAATGGACAAATCCAGCCAGCCATGGAGCAGCCGGGCTAATACAGACAAAAGACTCCTGATGGGCAGGTAGATGCTGGAAATGTTGTTGGTTGATCTCATTATCACTCCAGATGAGTTTATGCAGTGCATGGCCATGGTGTTAAAATTGCGGTGGATCCATAGTTGTGAAGTCCCTCCCTTTTTAATTCCCTTTCAGAGGACTTCAGGGAATTCTGAAATTCCCTTTCAGAAGGACTTCTCTTTCCAGGAGTGGAGTTCCACTGGAATCTTACCCAGTGGAAAGATTTCCTAAGCACCAATCTAACATTTGCGTCTCATTTCTTGTAATAGAAATTTCCCCAGGCTGGGCCGCAATTATGTATGGTCAAAAGTCTCTGTTTGAATTAAATTTACTTAAGTGAAGAAAAAATGAACTAGGGAAAGAAATATTAAATAGGTAGATATTGTAACAATGATAATCGTGGTGCAGAAGTGGTTGAGGACATCCCACCCGTGTTCTCCAAACTTCAAAGACCTCAAGTTAGTTGCCAATGAATGATCTAAATGACATTTCTGTGAACTGAAGTGCTTCCATTCAGCTATTGTTTAGTGAAGCTAAGACTTAGCTTTAAAAAAGAGAATGGCAGAGCTGGTGGGGACAAACAGGGGCTGAAAGACAATAGCTGGAACCACAGCCGCCATTCAGGGCAGCGTGACAATCATGGGCTGCAGCTGCCACAGCCAGGCTGTCCACAATCCATGCCGCTGAGGGCCAGCTGCACATCACAGTCCCTGCCTGGGGGGGCGACACATCCCCAGTGCCTGACAGAGCAGCTGCTGGGAAGGGGAGGGGTGCATTTTCCCAGCCTCACTGGGTTGTTTACAAGTGACCTGGGTCACCACTAAGGCTGCCTGACCACCCATGTGGACCCTGCTGGAGTGCAGTGGAAATCCCAGCTCTCCTCCTCAGCACATGCTCCTCTGCCGGTGGCAGACGCTGCATGCCTCTGTCCCTCAGAAGCCACTTGCCATCCTGTGGCTTTGACTGAGTTACCTCACCTCTCTGACACCTGGTGACATGATGGGCACCATTACTGAGCACCTACGTACCATCGTAGCCTTGGGATACCGTACTTTACAGGGCGGCTGGAGGAGGTGACAGGACAAAATGCCATCCCTCCCTGGAGCCGTTTGTAGCAGAGAGATCCAGCCCAGTTCTCAACACACCTAAAAATGATCGGATGCATGCGAACTGCAACTACCCAGAGACACAAGTGCCAACCTCCCGAGAGACCAACACCACTTCAATGGTGGCATTGTTGTGTGGTTGCAGGGGGACACTTCAGTGAGGGAGGGAGCCTGATGTCAGATATTGGAAACCTGAGCATAGACAAGCCTCAGAGGTCTTAAAGAACGTTCTGGATTTATGCAGCCAGAAGTGGCTCAGGTGAAATCCAAACTCGGTTCTTCTGGGGCCCAAGATCCTGTTCTTTCCAGCACAAAGAAGCAGAAAAAAAGATTAAAGCCCCTTCTTCACATCAAATAACCTCAGCACATAGGGTATTTATCAGTCGCATTTCCTGTGTCCTGACTTCTCTGTGGTCTGACCAGTCCTTAACATTTTGACCAAGAGTTTTTGGACGGTTCATTTTGTATTTCCAATTCTGATGACACCATGCATAGGTCTGAGGGTCTACTGCCTCTCTGTCGCTGCCTCTCTGCCTCTCACTCTGAAAGTGAAAATCCAAATGGAGCAACTTTGTCAATTCCTGTTCTGGTTAGGTGCCCTTGGAAGCTGCAGCAGGAGATACATGTTTGTCAGACACTCAAGGCAATGTGTCAGTCACTGCCAGGAAGCGTGAATACCTAAATGAGCTAGCCTTTCCCTTTGGAGTGGAGGGCTAGGTTAGAATCTCTGGGCATTACAAGGGGTGAGAAGGGCATGCACAGAAAGGGGCTCAAGGTCCTAAGCGTGCAGTAACTGTCACAGATATGTGCTGTCGATGGGGTGTAGTTAGGTAAATCGGGTCTAATACCGAGTGATATCTAAAATGGAGGCCATGCTGACAATGATTCTGGGAAACACAGGACAACTCATGGAATGGAAAGGCCCTAGGCCAAAGTCCACCCTAGAGAAATGTTAATGGAACCCAGGAAACAGCCCCCAACAGACTGGGAGATAGCCCATCCCAAAGAAGTGTTAATGAAGTCCTTCCTGCCCAGATTACTTGTACATTCCATCACCAAAACTATAAAAAGGGGAGACAACCGCACTTCATGGATTCCACCTTCTTCCTCCGGGAGAAGTCTTTTCTGCTGTCCTTTAATAAACTTCTAATTTCTACTCTGACCTTGCCTCGGTGTGCTCTCTGGTGTTACTCTTCAACACTGGGGAAGCAAGGACTCGTCACCAGTCAACAGCGGTAACACCACTGGATCCTCACGTTAGCTCACAAGGCAGGAGGTGGACATTGATACCTTTCTTTCTTCCTGAGAAAAGCCTTGGCTTAAAAAAGTCTATACCTTATTTTTCAGGTTTTCAGGGTGTCCTGAGGCAGGGTCTCTTCGGCAGTGCACAGAACTTCCCTAGCTTCATGCTCCTGTTCAGGGCTCCCCGGCACACAGTGGGGTGCTCAGCAGTCACTCTGCTCTTCTCATTGCATGCCAGCACCATCCCTCCACCCACCCACCCACCAGCCAACCAACCATCCAGACAACCAAACAACCAACCAACCAAGTCTTCACAGCCCCACATTCTCCAGACTGTCCCCAGGGGGGAGGAGGGACAAAGCTGCCTCCAGCTGAGAACTGCTCCCCACAGGCGCCAGTGCATAAACAGCACAACCTCAATGTCACCTCTGCAGTTTGACTGCAGATGTGAACCCCCATGCCATTTCCCACAGACCAGAAGGACATGCCTTGGAACAGAGAGTGTTTCTTGGAAGAAGTCTGTTACGTGGGACTGTAAAGGATGCAAAGACGAGACCTTCACCAGACAGCTGGGGGGCAATGGCATTGGCCATTTGTGTCCCCATCAGAACCCGTGCTGCATGGGATCCCCACAGAAGCTCAGAATGGGCCTGGTGTCCTCAATTCCCGGGACTATTCCTGAGATACGTTTCCTGGGGAAGTCATCTAGAGAAGTCATGCCCTGGGCCTCAACCTGCTACTGTAGTCTGCAGTCACAAAGCAGAGAGAAGGGAGGGAGGGGCGCAGCCTCAGCGCTAACTTCCCAAGGAAGGCAATTTTGGCCTTCTCTGTTTGTTGGTTTAGCCACATTTTATGATCAGCATCAGCTGCCAAGTGCCCCGCATGTTTGGGACTGTAGATCATCATTGCCCTTAATTCCAGAGATTTGGCTTTTATATATTTGTCAAAAATGGCAGGAGTGTTTTTGACAGGAGGGGTTTAAATCATGGTGCTATTTCCCCAGCCTGAGTCTTTGGTCCTGGATAGTCAGAACCCCCTTTTGGTTTTTACATACAGTGCCCTGAATTCCTCCTGGCATTGTAACATTTTCTTTAGCAAATTCAGGCCTCAAGGGAGCAATTCTTTCAATAGCTGATTTGATTACAGAGAGGCTGTGCTTTCTGTGAACAATCAAACCACAGGCTTCTATGACCCTTCCCTCTGGGTGTCCTTGGCCCCCTCACCCTGGGACAATGCCTTTAGAGCAGACCCCTACCCTCCCACCACTCTTCCGGGTCACTCCACCTGCAGCAAGAATAAGGCTCTCACCTGGGCCCTCCCTGGGCTTCTGGAGAGGTGTGTCTCTGAGGGAGAGGTGCACTGCTCTCTGGTGCCGGGGGCAGAGGCTGGTGCTGCTTCGGGAGAGTGGTGGGAGGCCTGGGTGAAGATCACAGGGTGAAGACCACATTGGGCCTGAGCTGCCTGCAGCTCCGGACGCTCCTCACCCTGCCTCCTGCATCCTGAGCTCTCCACAGCAGCCCGACCCATTCCACATTCCACGTTGCTCCAAATGTCAGGGCAATCATTCTTCTAAAGAGTCTAAATCTACTTCCCGGAACCTGCCCTTTGATCGGTTGCTGTTTCCTACAGCATGTGATGTGATTTTCTCCAGGGCATCATGTACTTCTCAAAATGAAATGCTGCCTGTTTAGTGTGAGGAATCCTGGGGAAAGAAGAACAGAGGCCTCCATCCCTCCCAGACTGGAAGACCTGAGTTAACAGGGTCTTAAGGTCGATGAATGCCCCCTCACCCAGTTTATGTACTCATTGATTCATAGTGTGTCGAGCCCTTTGGTAGATGCTGGAAATGCAGAGAGGAAAAGACACAGCGTTGACTGCAAGATGCTTCCCTCTGGGAGGGAGGAGAGGGAGGTGGAGAAACCATGGCCAGAGCCGGCCACCAATGCTGCAGAGCCGCACAGGCCCAGGGAGGCAACTCGAGGGGCCGACATCCTCGGCGCCTCAGTAGCCAGGGCTTCAGCTTTTTCCTCTGTGTACATGGAGAAATAGCCTAGCGCCTGTGTTTCTCTGGAGAATGCTCTTCCTTAAACATATGTTTCCATATTGTAAGCCCTTCACCCAAATTCCAAGTCCATCCACCTATCGACTTATGATTGAGGTGTGTGGAGTGGGCGTGGGCTGCTGCCTGTGCACTTGGGCATGAGAGGCATACGCTGATTTGATCTGGTGATTTCTGTACTAAGAGAATGGAGGGAAAGAGGAAGGGATAGGCAGAAAGACACTCATGGAGAAACAGTAAGGGAAGGGACACTGGGCAGGTAACTGTGAATGAAGGCAGGACTGAATGGACCACTGGAGACTGGGTCAGCCCTGTCCATTGTGTCAGGTTTCTGGGGTCAATTGTCTCTCCCTTCAGGCACCAGCACAAACCATTTAAGTATTAAAGCAAAACAAAAAACGATTTTCAATGTCTTACCGAGGAGGCGGCAAAGGAGTCTGTGAAATGAAGGAGAATTGGAAATTACATTTGTTGTTCTTTGTGAAGCTCCAAGGGGTGAATTTATTTTTTGTGTTTATGATTAGAAATTACAAATAATGACCAAACTCCTAGAACATATTTTTCAAGTAATATCTTAAGCTTCTATATGGTCCATATTTCTATACTTAAAAAAAAAAAAAGAAACGAATATATTTTAATGACTTGACTTACCATGTTTCCCTTTATGGATCTGTTCTCTAAAACACAAGAAGAAAATGCAGTGAATTTATACAAAACATTGTCAAGTGCTATTCTTACATAGGCTTAAGCGGAAATCATTCCTGTTTTAAATACTGTTGATGATAACGTTGATTAATAGTTGCTGAGATCTTAGTAGGTACCTGGCATGATGCTAAGTGCTATACTTCTGTGGTCTTATTAAATCTCACCTTCACTGAAGAAAATGAGATGTTGGGAAGTTAACCATCCCATCCACAGTCACCCACTCACCCAGCTAATATATGGCAGAATGATCGTGGGGTGACTCAGAACCTCCTATTCCTGGTTGGAGTTACCATTCCTTACATTTACATCTATACTGTGTGTGTGTGAGTGTGTGTGTGAGTGTGTGTGTGTGTGTGTGTGTGTGTGTGTGTGTGTGTAGTTTTACACATGTGTGTATAATTAATTTGAGTTTCTTTCTTGTAACTTCATGGAGCTTTTTCCAAGCAGAAGAAAAATAGAAGGGTTTTGAAGTCCCCCAGAATCTAGCTCCCGTATTTAATGGATAACAAAAGTAGGAACCAATTAGGCAGGAAAATTTCTCAAGATCAACTAACTACAGAAACAGCCTGACCGGGGCCTGGAACAGATTTTTCTGACTTCTCTGCAGTTTTATTTCCACGATTCAATTGAATTCAAAGGAAATTATTGAGCTGCTATTCTGAGCTAAACCTAGCATCAGGCACGAGTGGGGGGGGGGACAGAAGCAATCTTTAGAAACCTCCAGGAGCTGGGGCTGGGGACAGGTTTGAACTCCCCACCCCATGTCACTGGGGGCTTCACTTCACTTTGCTTTCTATCAACTTTGTCTTCACATTTTTTTTTCTAATTTTGTAAAAGGTCCAGCTGGCCCTAAACAACCCAATACAAACTGGTCTGGAAGATTTTAATACATCTTCCAGGTCAAAAGTAATTACTTCATTGAATAAATTGTCCTTCTCCCTATTTCATTTCCATTTTTGGAAGACATTTTTAAAATGAGTGGAATCGACCTCTTCATCTAATTCCAAATGCTCACCGAGTACAAACAAGTAAGAGGATCCTGGCGTCGTAAAAATGCAAACTATGACCTGGGATACACCTCGCCAGCAGCCGCTGTCCAGGTGGTGCCACATCTTTGACTATTAAAGAAAAATCAGGCCACACAACAATTGCTCCAGCCACCAAATTATCAAACCTGAACTTAATTTCCCTTCACGTCTTTTCTTATTGGTGTCCCTGAGGAGCTTCGTGGGCCGCTGCGGGGCTTGCACTAACTTGCCCTGTGGAAGCAGGAGTCGGCTCTGCAACAGGAATGATTCCAGAGCCACCACTGCTTCTGTTGGGGACCAATTCAATTCACTGGAAAGAAAATTCAATGAGATTCAGGTTCTAATGCAGCAGGAACAGTCCACTCATCCTTTTAGAGATGCCTATTCATTTTGCTTCAGTGTCCGAGAGTTTAGAAAAGGACGGGAGTGTTTCTTTTGTTCATTAACTTATTGATCACCTAGATCGGGTGTGGATTTCTTTTTAATGTATTTATTGATGTAGGTGTGAGGGAATATAATACCCAAAAAACCAGAGTTACCATTGCCTTGCTACTTACATTCCCATGGCAGGGCCTGGAAATTCATATAAAAAGTATAAACAGGTAATGACAGGCAAAGACAAAGAAGCAGGTCACGGGACAGCAGGGACGTGGAGAGAAGACGAGGGAGGTGCTGGGGCTGTTTTTCAGACAGGTCTGAGGAGGCATCTCTGCGTAGGTGAGGAACCAGAGGCCTGAAGAGGGTGACGGAGCATGTCCTGTAGGTGTCTGGGGAAGAAGATTCCAGGCAGAGGGGACAGTGAGTGCAAAGGATTCAAGGTGGGAAAGAGCAGGTAGAGAGGTCGGAGAGGAGATGGTGGCGCTGGAGGAACTCGGGGATCACACAGGGTCTTGCACACTGTGGTAAGAAGGTTGCCTTGACCACAGTCAATCTTTTTACCACTTTGCTGACGTCCAAGGACATCTCAGTGAGTTTGGTGAGGTCACTGCCACCACCAGCAGGATAAACACATCCATCACCTCCCGAGGGTTCCTCCTGCTCTATTTATTACTGTTCTTTGAATTGGCATTTTTGGTTGAGAACATTTAATAAAAGATTTACCCTTTTGGGAAATTTAAAGCAGTTTTGTTAGTAACAGGCATTATGCTACACAGGTCTGCAGAACTTTTTCATTTTGTGTCACTCAGACTTGGTACCAGTTAAGCCTCACCTCATCACCTGCTCCTCGTTGCTCCTGGCGACCACCATTCTGCTCGTAGTTTTTATGAGTTTGACCATTTTAGATTCCACAGAAGTGACATCAGACAGTATTTCATCAATGTCTGGCTTGTTTCTCCTAACAGAACACTGCCCTCCAGGTCCGACCACACTGTTGCAAATGGATTGAGAGGATCGGCTTCCTTTTAAGGTGGAAAAACACTCCATTCTTTATCCATTCATCGTCTGTGACACCCAGGTTGCTTCCACATCTTTGCTATGGTGAATTATGCTGCAAGGGACATGGGTGGACCTGTCTTCAAAATCCCAATTTCAGTTCTTCTGATGCAAATCAGAAGTGGAATTCCTGAATTACATGCTGATTCTACTTTTAATTGTTGGAGGAACCCCCCACACTGATTTCCATGATGACAAACCGATGCACACTCTCATCCACGGGGTGCAAGGGCTCCCCTTTCTCCACATCATGGTGGACACTTGCCATCTTGTTGTTTTAAATGATAGTTATCTTAACAGGTGTGAGGTGCACTGTGGCTCTGGTTTGCATTTCACTAATGCCCAGAGATTCTGAGCTTTCCCTTGTATATGCCTATTGGCTAACCCTCTGTTATCCTGGGAGAAGAAAAGTCCACCCTTGCCCATCTTTAATCGGGTCACTCTTCCTTCCCCCTGCTATTGAATTCTTGTGTATTTTGGATATTAACCCTTTATCAGATGCATGTTTTGCAAATATTTGCTCCCATTTTATAGTTTGCTTTTCATTCATTGATTGTTTGCAGGACAGAAGCATTTTCATTGGATGAAATCTTGCTTATTTTTGCTTTTGTTGCCTGTGCTTTTGGTTTCATATCCAAAAGTTATTGTCTTGGCCAATGTCATGAGGCATTTCCCTGGTTTTTCTTATAGGAATTCCATGGTTTTGGATCCTGAAGTTTAACCTTTATTCCATCCCAAGTTGGATTCCTTGCATGATGTGTCACGAAGATCCAACTCTTTACTCTTTTGCATAATGTGGATATCAGTCTGCCCAACGGCTTTTATTGAAGAGGCCAAATCTTCCCACCCCAAATAATTGTGTATTCTTGATGCTTTCATAGAAAATCAGGACTGTGCATCTGTAGGTTTATCTCTGGGCTACTCATTCTGCTCCATTGGTCTACAAGTGCATTTTATCCTACGCTGCCCTGACCACTACACCCAGTAAGAAAACTTGAAATCAGGTAGCACCATGCCTCCAGCCTTGTTCCTCTTACTCAAGGTTGCTGCTCAGTCTTTCCAGGTGAACATGGTGAATCTTTCTGGTGCCCTGTCCATGTGTCCTCTGTCTTCACTATGTTGTTTTTCTAGCCAGCTGGTATTTCTCTGTCACTTTTTAAATTTTGTACAAATACTATCAACAACAGCACCAAGGCCTCGAGGAGGATTGAAGCCACATCAGATATGCCCACTGCTGAGCACTGAGGCTGGGAGCTTCACTTACTCCTTGCTTAGATCATCAGTATTCTATAAAGTGGAAGGGCCAGGTGACCTTGAGGGGGTTCACAGGTGAGAAAACTAGATCAGACATGAAAGTAGCTTGCAAATAGCTGTCCTACAGCTTTGGTAGCAATTCAGAAAAATTTGACAAATTTTTTAAACTTGGAGGTCTTGTTTAATAAAGTAATAGCAAATTAGGCATTTTCAATAATGAAAAGGTAAGATTTGGAGTTGAATTTCTTGAGATTGAATCTTGATTTTGCTACTAACTTGGGCAGGATGGTGGCAAGTAGTTGATAAATGTTTATGAAACAAATGCATTGAGGAATGAGTGAGCATCCTCATCCAGGAAAGTGGAGGGTGATACTTGTACTTCATGGGAATTTATATGTGAAATAAATGAGTTAATGTTCTTCAAGCTGTTGTTCTTATTGTATGCCTGTGTTACTATTATAATCATGTAATGGAAAATTAGAGGGGAGATGGGAATTTGTTTCTTGGATAAGTACACAGATATTCTCAAATGCTAAGTTTCTTGTCAAATAAAAGGAGCCAACTGGTTGTTCTTCAAGGTCCTTCCTGTCTCAAAACGTGAACAGTTTTCACTTGAAGAAGGCTGTCACCCAGGACGCCATCTGGTGGCCAGTGGTGTTACTAGCATCGTCTGCCCAGAGTGCTTTTCATTCTTGAAAGAGGTCAGCCGCCCCAGGTTCCTCTGGGGAGTAAGGCAGGACGTTGGTCTATTTCCTCTGCAACCCACTAGGGAGAAACCATGAAGAAGTGAATTGCATGGTGTTCCTGGAGGTGAAAGCCAGGCTTCCTGGCGAGGGAAGAAGTCCTAAGAGACCTGTTCATGATGTGTTGTTGTTAAAGTTTCAAGACTTTTGTCACCTGGTGTTAAATACTGCCATTATTAAAAGATTGATCAAAACAAAGGTAATCGCTGTGGCAGTGCACCCCTGCTGGTGGACCAACAAAGCAGCTTATGAGCCAAGTGGCTAGTCATGTCGGGGCCATTGACCTCCATTGCAGCTATGGTTGGAAGCCAGAATCTCATCTCTTCTGCGCCCTCCCCCACTCCAGGTTCACAGTCACATCTGCAGCCTGAAACCTGGCCTGCGGGAGAATTCACACCAGGAGAACCAAGGTACAGATCAGGGTCTGACTTCCTGTTTGGTTCCTTGTCAAGATTTAAGAAAGCGATAGAGAAGAGGTTAATGAGGCAGACTCATTTCAAAAGTGTCCTGTCT